GTTTATAGCACAGCATAAGAAATAGTTTTATTCAAAACTAACCTAAGTAAAAAGGCAGACTATGGGAAAATCCTTTAGTGCAATGAAAAACATTAAGTATGGTACAAAAATACCAGGTTATAAGTTAATTCGATTTGCTCTTCACTTTCTTATTCCTACTTTTCTGTGAGTGTGTTTATATCATGATACATATTACTGAAAAACCTTCAAGGATGCCAACCATGAGTAAAGTGAATAGAATCAAGTCTAAATTTCTAGATACGGGATTCAATGTTCTCCATAAAAGAAGTTCAACTTCTCATTCCAGATTTATCATCTGCTATCATTCTACAAATGGTTATCATCTGAATATCTAGAAAAGGAATAATCTCTACAAACAGTCTGCAAATTTTCTACCTAAAATTGACTTATCACTTGTCTGTGCTGATTTGGAACTAGATATGTTTACCTGAATTTACAATTCCTTCCCTTATGTTAGTAATATGGTTACATGAATTAACTGTCTGGCTCAATGATAAATTTAAAAAACAAAGATGGGGCGCCTGGGTGGCTCAGTCGGTTAAGCATCCGACTTCGGCTCATGTCATGATCTCGCGGTTCGTGAGTTCAAGCCCCGCGTCAGGCTCTGTGCTGACAGCTCAGAACCTGGAGCCTGCTTCGGATTCTGTGTCTCCCTCTCTCTCTGCCCCTCCCCCGCTCATGCTCTGTCTCTCTCTCTGTCTCTGTCAAAAATAAATAAACATTAAAAAAATTTTTAAAAAAACAAAGAATGTGTCTTCTTTGTTTTCTCTTATGGACTATTATTCTGGGAAATTATAAAAACTAATGGTAGCAAAATGTAATTAATTTTGAAATATAAGCAATATTCAGTCAAACCAAAAAGTTTTATGTATCCATCAGTAATAGATTCTTGGTGATAAACACAGTTCTGAAACTATTTTGTTTTAAATATATATATATATTTAAAAATATATATATATATATTTCCTTTAAATAATATGAATTTTGAAATGGTTTTTGTTAAAATGCATTTCAATGAAAATAAATATTAGAGAGAAAAATCATTCAAAATATACTTTAGTCCAATGTATTCCATTAAAAGCCAATGCTTCTAATTGTATAGATATTTAGAGTTCAGGTCTTTCCAAGACCCAGAGTCATTTAATTGCAGCTAAACGAATGAACAATAGATTGGATTACCAATTGATCAATTCAATTAGGCCATTAAGAAAACTGAAATAAGAGCTCCAATGTATGGGCCAGTTATTTCACTCAACCTAGTACCCAAAGCAGATTTATAATTCAGCAATTCAATCTACTGCTTGGCACTCAGATGTCATGAGAACTAAATAAACTGAACCTGACAATCCCAGTGGCCCCTCAATACCTCATACATTCTCCATCACGAAATGCTTTAAACCATCGCAACCTTATTCAGTACTGTATTATCAGTATTTCAAAACAAAACCCTTTTACAACAATTTAATACTAATTTACTCTGTTACATTACTCTGTTAAAAATGTACAAGTCCTCACAAGCAAGAATTCAATTTCTGCCTTAAAACATTAGTCAACACATTAGTTACCAATTTCCCTAACTTTGAATGAAATAAGTAATTATTCATTTAATCTGGAAAGTGTAAAATATTATGGGGAAATCTCATTTAAAAGTTTATAATTTTTCTTGAACACAATAGCACCAATTCCATCCCCAATCTCACAGAAAAGTGTGACTATCTAGATTTTACTGATACCAGACTCCATTCTCTCCCTCATAATCAGTATGTTTCTAAGACCTCACCTTAATTAAGATCTCCTCTCTCATCTTCATTTCTCAATCCTGCCTGATAGCCTTTTAGTAGCCACTGTTGGTCAATTCTCTCCAGGTTAATGCCCCACATTCTACCTTAACTTCATTCTTCCAGTTTATCTTCCTTACTGCCAGTTTGTCCCCTCCAACACATCTGTGCCCTATGACCCAGTTAAAACAACTAAGTGCAGGTCCCCTGAAAAGCTATTATATCTCCTTTCTCTATGCTGTGCTGATGCTGTACTTTTGTCCTGGTGTACACTTCTTTGCTCTTCATAACTGGCACCTGGTGTTTCTCTGTATGTAAGGGAATACCACTGTTACGTCCTTCACAGCACAATCCACTTTCATTGTCTGTTTTTCCCACTACACTATTGCTGTCTTAGGGCACAGTCTCCCAAGTTTGTATTCCTAGCAACCAGCATGATGGCAGGTCTATAAAATTCACTGGAGAGTTTGTTGAATAAGGTACTTATTTAGTTAGTTAGTAAATAAACTGAAATAAACTGAAATTGCTCCTTGAAAGGCAACATTTCAAAACAACTCTTTGATTCTTAAAATCTGAATTTAATAGAACTCAGTTAACTTGGTGATATCGGGCATCTGATATATAAAAGGGGTGACTTTTATTTTATATAAACTTGAATAAGAACATCAAATTATATATGAATTAGTACTAGATAACTTTCTACACACATTAGTGTTTATGTTTAAAGCTAATCCAAAAACAAATAACTTCATCAGTCAAGATGGTACTTAAATGACCATGAAGAATATATTATTTTAAAGAGTGGTGACCATTCAGAAACCACTTTAATGCTTCTAAGTCATGTTAATACTTTGATGGTTTTCTATTTTAATTGACTCCATCTTACCTGATTAAATAAGCATTAGAAGAGAGAGTGGGTCATCTATGTATCTAATTTATTACTTCCTCAGATTGGTACTTATAGAAAACAGAAATTCATTCAGAAGGGATTAGAATGATTTTAAAAATGAGAAAACCATAAGCGGCAATTAAAAGAGGCTGGGATTGACCATTCATTCATTCATTCATTCTCTCATTCAATTTTGCACTCACAGTGGATTTGTGTATTTGACCTCTAAAGCAACTTGCAAACTCAGGGATAAGTGAAACAAACATATGCTCCTTCAGCAGAGCCTTTATGCGGTCAATAGCATACGAGACAGGCTTAACCAAGTATGACAACAGTGTGTGTGTGTGTGTGTGTGTGTGTGTGTGTGTGTGTGTGTGTGTGTATTACCTCAGGTCATAAATCCTTTTGGAAGCTTATATTTGAAATGATAGAACTCGGAGAAAATTTCTCATTGTATGTACTGATTTAAAAAAATACAATTTCCATTCACATAAAAAATGCCCACACACCTCCAAAGTATACCAACATATTCTTGATTTTCATCAAATTAACAAGATGAAATTTGGCTTTAAATAAATCTCCATGGATTAGAATGCAAATGTGTTTTACCAGGTGAATAAATAAATGTAAAGGGTGATCTGATGCTTATGTCTCTGTGTCTTTCAAAACTTTCCACTTCAGATTTAATATTTAATTAGTCCAACTTTATCCCTTAATACCACTGGAAAACAGACTTTTCACTCATATTAAGATAGCCTAACATAGTCTTGCCAATTTTCTGTGTGACTTACCTAGGCTTCCCATCTGATTGACTTAGATGCATTATTAAGGACATATGAATATAAATATTTAAAATTTTTGTGTATCTAATGGATGCCTAAATAAATGCATGTATGTGTTGGGAATAAATGCTACATTAGCATCTGTCACTGCCTAGCGGATGAAAGGAAACAATGGTGCTGATGGTTATTGACATGTATAAGTCAGTATCCCTGTGACTGATGGAGGAGAGAATACACAAAAGAATTAGAAGAGGTTTCAGAGATGTCCTTATCGTAGTACCTAGATATGTTCAAATTGCCAGTTTGCTTTTGAAGTGGACTTAGGAATATTACCCTCTCTGTAGCTGAAGGACTTGTGATAACTGCACACAGCATGTGGAGACAAAAGCCAACATCAGTGCTTTGATAGGAAGTCTGTCACAATTACTCAAGTGTGTCTTCTTTGTGGTTCTCACAAGTCTCTGTAAACCCTATAGTGCGATTAAATGGGAAAGTAGATACTACATAGATAGAAGATAGTAGCAGTTATTGGAAGAGAGAGATGTTAGAAAATATCCAGTCTAACCTCTGGTTATGTAGGAGAAGAAAAGGAGCCCAAAGTCTTAGATGTGCCAGATAAGAGAAAGGAAAATAAGAGGTAGAGAGAAACAACTTCCTTTATCATAATATCAGTCACACTTTATTGTAATGACTTACATGTCCATATTCATCCAGCACTCTAATAAGCAAGACTCTGTGTCAGTCTTAATCATTGCCATATCCCTGTACTTAGTCCAATGTTTCTCAGAAATGAGTACATGAATTGACGAGCAAATGAATGTTCAGTATTAACCTGGGGAAGGTTCTTAACCTTGCTGAACCTCACTCTCATCCTCTGAAAACGGGAATAATAATAACTGCCTCTTAGAATGTTATCACAGGAAAATAAAATAATACATTAAAAGTGCTTAGCAGTGGGGTTACCTGGGCAACTCAGGCAGTTAAGCATCCAACTCTTGATTTTGGCTCAGGTCATGATCTCAGGGTTCAAGGGGTGAAATCCACGTTGGACTCTGCACTCACAGCTCAGAGCCTGGAACCTACTTCAGATTCTCTCTCTCTCTCTCTCTCTCTCTCTCTCTCTCTCTCTCTCTCCCTCTCTCTCTCTGCCCCTCCCCTACTTGTGCACATTCATTCATTCATTCTCTCTCACTCTCAAAAATAAATAAACTTTAAAAAATGCTTAGCAGTGAACTTTATGCAAAGATTTGTATATTAATAGGATGAGTGAATACATACAAAAATGAAGCCAAATATAAGGAAAATACCTGTTTCTCCACAAACTTCAACTACAACACTGGGAAGAATAAGGAATGCTTTTGGCATACCCTCATCTAATGACTCACTTAGAAAGAAAGAAAGGAATATGAAACAAAACTCCCAAACAGTACAGAACTTAAAAAATAATTACAAAGTATTCGTTAAAGGGAAAATCGTTGTTCAAACTACTTCAAAGAATATAATTCTGGTCTTTATTGAGCACAGCAGTACCTGACAAAATCCTGACTTCTGCTTCGTTTCCTGTTCTTGAGCTGGCTGGATTCCGGGCTAAGCATCGATAGATTCCAGTGTCCCCAGGTTGAAGTCTGCTGATCTGCAAGGCTCCAGAGGGCAACACCACCACTCGGGAATCACCTGGGATGGGAATCAGGTCTTGTTGGTTTTTTTGCCAATGTATTGTTGGCATAGGCTCCCCAATAACCTCACATTTGAGTAGCACTGTGTCTCCCATAAAGGCCGTGACAGATTCTGTCTGCGATAGGAACCTCAGTGGTCCTAGGGGAAAAACAAAGAAGGAAGGACAAATATTTCAGATAAGGTACAATAATCACTAATAAAAATAATCACACCTGTACTCTTTGTAGAAAATTGTATTTTATATTTTGTCCAATTTCATCTCCTTTGCTCTTTATATTTTATGCATCTGACATTACAACAGTTTCTGTGGCTAAAAAATTGATAAAGATATTGCCATTAATCTCTAGAAGCTTACTATTTTGTATTATTCATTCATAAAACAGTCTTGTAAAATAAACACAGCAGGCAAGGTCATCTTAACTTTACACATGAGGGAACGGAGGTTCAGAGACATAAAAATTCCACAATTCTGCAAATAAGACCTGGTTCTTTTGAATCCTGGTCCTTTGTGCTTCCTAGTACATGGCTTTGGACAAAGGACTATGAAGTTATGGGGATTCATGAAGGACTGGCCCTCCTGCTTAGCCTAGAGGAATTTCAAGAAAGATGGGGGACATTAACCACCAATTGCAGTAACAGAAAACACTCTCATAGGAGTTGACTGCTTAAGGTAAATGATCATCAGTATTTTCAAGTTATGGTTGTGTTATACTGAGAAAATGAATTAGACTAGTTTGTGTTTCTAGCTTGGCTGGGCCACCTACTCTGTATGAGTTCTTTGGTAACTTCTTTCATTTCTATGGGCTATAATATGGGATAAGAGCCAACTCAACTCACACAACCACTGTGATGTCCATATACAATAACAGGTTAAAAAGATGCAATCATATGGATGATTAAGCAAATGTAGGGGAAAAAAGAAATGACGAAAGTAAAATTAATTAATCATTACTGAGCATGAACACAGTGAAAGGAGCCTCCTCCATCATGATGTACATGAGAAGGTAGAAAATATTTTGATTCTGCCCTCTTGAATCCCCTTCTTCTGAACAGATGGATATTTATGACCACAGTGCTTTGACCACGAAACTTTTAAAAAATGATTACAAACACATTTGAATGAATTATGCCATCACTGATATAACATTGGAGATTTTATTTTACAGTTAGTTTCATTAAATAATTTTAAATTCTTTGACCCATGTTTCATTCACTACAGTTATATTCTAATATTTTTATTTTCATTTTAATCTTACTGGAATTGTTTTCATTGTGTGTGTATTTCAAAATAAAATTTAACTCATTCATCATTTACCTCAAGTTATTCTGATCATATTTTATGTTACCATGATTTTTTTAATTTTATAGATTTGTTTTCACCAAGTCAAAATTTTCTAGGTCCAGGTCCAAATTTTAACAATAAATTTTCCATCAATACGTAGTCAGTAGCCAATTCTACTTGTGCTCAGTTTGAACTATTAGTTTTATTTTTTGGTCTATTAATTCTCACAAACTAACTTTCCCTAAAATATGATAAAATTTTTGTTTCAGTCAAAAGGGGAAAGGCAAGAATGACTTACTTAAAACATCATAATTTAATATGGGAACAATCAGAAAGGCTGTAGAGAAGTCGCCTTCCCTAGGTAAAGTGGAATTTCATATTTCTTTCAGGGATTAGAATATTTGAACTGCCAGATAACTGAATCTATGAAATAGGAAATTACATCAATAATGCATGTGGAATAGGTAGAAGCTGCCAAAGATGGTTTATCACTCATTATATCTCCACTCACATTAACAGGCCTGCAGATCTATAGAGGCAATATTAAGTTTGTTCTTTAGTAAGAATGATTAACCCTAGACCATACAGAACCATTCATACTTGTGGAAATATTAATTTATCAGTCAAAATGTATCCCACACATAAGGTGCTAAAATTACTCATCTGGATCCCCAGTTAGGGCTCTGAAATCTGGATGCCTGGATCTGGTTATCTCAACACTACAAATATGTCTACAGGGGGTGCCAGCTGCATGCATAATTCTATTTTTATTTAGTATTCAGAATTAATTTAGAACTATGCTGGATTAACCGCTGAGTAAAGAGACCAAAAGGATTCTGCTAACTTGTGACCTGGCTAAAGAAATTGTTCAAAGTCCAATTTCTATACTCCTTGTAGTGTAGTGTCTAGAGTCTATTCAAAAGACGTACATTAATCTATAACCAATTGGCTAAAATGTAGATTTAAAGCATGTAATTAAACAGAGAATGGCTTGTATACACTACACAAGGCAAAACTGCAATGAATAGTTAGCCAGATGTTGTGAGGGTTTTTTTTTTAATTGAATCATTTTCTTCTTGGCCTCTACTTCTAGTATTTTGTTTTGTAGTTAAGGAAATATGGTTGGGAATAATTTATCTACACATACAAATTATATGATTTATGCAACACAGGTAAGAATAAAATATTTTGAATAAGTTGATAAAAATATCTGGATACTTATGTATATTCAACTATATGGTCTTGTATAAGTTATATACATAGATAAAATTCGCAATACTTATTTTACATCTAAATGTCTGTGGTGATCCAAAAACCCATTTACTAAATTCTCAAGTATGGAATAAAATATTAAATGAAAGTGCATAAGCATACCTTAGGGATATTGTGGGTTCAATTCTAGAACACCATAATAAAGTGAATACTGCAATAAAGTAAGTAAAATAAACATTTTGTTTTGCTGGCTCATATAAAAGCTATGTTTACACTATACTGTAATCTATTAAGTGTGCAATAGTATTATGTAAGATGCTTTAATTTAAAAGTACTTTATTGGTAAAAAAAAAAATGCTAAGCATCATCTGGGCTTTCACCAAGTTGAAATCTTTTTCCAGTAGGAGGGTCTTGCCTCGATGTTGATGGATGCTGACTGATCAAAGTGGTGGCTGCTGAAAGCTGGGATGGCCATGGCAATTTCTTAAAATAAAACAACAATGAAGTTTGTTGCATTGATCAATTGTTAGTTTCACAAACAATTTCTCTGTAGCATGTGACGCTGTTTGATAGCATTTTACCCAGAGTAAAACTTCTTTCAAAATTGGAGTCTGCCCTCTCAAATTTTGCTGCTGCTTTTTCAACTAAGTTTATGTAATATCCCAAATCCTTGATTTTCATTTCAACAATCTTCATAGCAGTGAAGACCAGGAGTAGAATGCATCTCAAGAAATCACTTTCTTTGCTCATCCATAAGAAGCAACTCCTCATCTGTTGAGTTTTACATCAGATTGAAGCAATTCAGTCATATCTTCTGGCTCCACTTCCAAATCTTGTCCTCTTGCTATTTCCATCAACATCTGCAGTTACTTCCTCCACTTGAACCCCTCCAAGTCATCCATGAGGGTTGGAATCAACTTCTTCCAAACTCCTATTAATGTTGGTATTTTGACTTCTCCCCATGAATCATAAATGTGCTTAGTGGCATCTACAATGGTGAATCTCTTGTAGAAGAGATTGACTCTGCCCTATTGTATCAGAGGAGTCACTATCTATGGCAGATTTGGTCTTACAAAATGTATTTCTTAAATAATAAGACTGGGAGGTCAAAATTACTTTTGATCCATGAGTTGCAGAATGGATGTTGTGCTAGCAGGCATGACAACATTAATCATGTTGTGCATCTCCACCAGGGCTGTTAGGTGACCAAGTGCATTGTCAAAGGGTAGTAATATTTTGAAAGGAATTTTTTTTCTGTGCAGAATGTCTCAACAGTAGGCTTAAAATATTTAGTAAACCATGTTGCAAACAGATATGCTGTCATCTAGGCTTTGTTGTTGCATTTACAGAGCATAGGCAAACTAGAGTTAGCATGATTCTTAACAGCCCTATGATTTTCCGAATGGCAAATGAGCACTGGCTTCAACTTAAAGTCACCAGTTACAATAGCCCCTAATAAGAAAGTTAGCCTGTCCTTTGAAGCTTTGACTTCCCCTCTCTAGCCATGGAAGTCCTAGATGGCATCTTCTTTCAATAGAAGGTTTTTTTTGTCTACATTGAAAACCTGTTGTCTGTTGTAGCCACCTTCATTAATTATCTTAGCTAGATCTTTTGGATAATTTGCTGCAGCTTCTGGATCATCATTTGCTGTTTCTCTCTGCATTTTGATATCATAAGAAAGGATTCTTTCCTTAAACTTCATCAACCAACAACTGCTAGCTCCAAACATTCCTTCTGCAGCTTCTTCACCTCTCTCAGTCTTCACAGAATTGAAGAGACTTAGGGTCTTGCTCTGGATTAGGCTTTGACTGAAGAGAATGTTGTGGCTGGTTTGACCTTCTATCCAACTGCTAAAACTTTCTCCCTGTCGGCAGTCAGGCTGTTTCACTTTCTTATCATTTGTGTATTAACTAAAGAAGTACTTTCAATTTCCTTTAAGAACTTTTCCTCTATATTCACAATCTGGCTGATTGTTTGGGGCAAGAGGCCTTGCTTTTGGCCTGTCTTAGATTTTGATATACCTAACTTACTAAACTTGGTAACTTCTAGCTTTGGTTTTAAAATGAGACATGAATGACTTTCTCTTTAACTTCAACACTTAGAGGCCACTAGAGGGTTATTCATTATCTAATTTCAATATCTTTGTGTCTCAGGGAATAGGGAGGCCCAAGGAGAGGGAGAGGATGTGGGAATGGCCTGATGGTGCAGCAGTCAGAACACACAGAATATGTATAGATCAATGTTTGATGAGCGTGGTTCATGGCACCGCAAAATAATTACAATAGTAACATCAAAGATCACTGATCACAGATAAGCATAACAAATACAATAATAATGAAAAAAGTTTGTAACATTGTAAAAATTACCAAAATGTGACACAGAGACACAAAGTGAATAAATGCTGTTGGGAAAATAGGGCTAAAAGACGTGGGTGACACAGGATTGCCACAAACCTTCAATCTGTAAAAAAATATACAGTATCTATAAAGCTCAATAAAGCAAATTACAATAAAACAAGGTATGCCTGTACTCAAATTTATACTCAACAACCGGTTCCTTTATGTAAACTTCAACTAGCTGGAAGAATCATACAGAGGACATAAAATTGTATGTTAATATAATTAGACTTAATGAAATTGGCTAA